CACTTGCATTCCAAGTACTTTTCTTATATTCTTGTATTTTTCACCAATCTATATATAGTTTAGTTTACTCGTATTATATATCTAATATTTATTTTCAATTATGTTTCAGTATTGGATATACGAAGCTTTTCCACAAATTTGACAAAAAATTGGACACCGTAGATATGAAACATTACAGAGTCCAAGAATACACAGATGGAAGCTAAATAAAATAAGGGGGAAAATAGTTAGGCATTTTTGGCTACCGAAGAGGTAATTTAATTATTTAATTATATTTCTTTATTACATTACATTATGCATTTTTCAAAAAAAAAATCAAAACAATTCATTTAAATATTTCATTACAATTACAGATCCAAGTGCTTGCAGTATTACAACCTACGAAGGAAGAATTGCAAATACTGTGGTATACAACTCTTTCATTGTCACAGCCCACGGCAACCAACATAGTATATACTAGATGGCATTATGAATAGAGAATTCAACAATGTACCACAACAAATCCAGATAACACTAAATACATTCCTGGTCCTAGGATATATAGTTCATCTGTTGGAGCCGGCCCAAGTGCTACTTCTATTGGCCCCAACTATGTAACTAGAGAGGAAATGAAACAAATGCTGAACATATGTAGGCAACATATAGTATCAGATGTATCTAGTTTGTGCGACAACTTGAAAACAAACATTGTTGAAGAATCAAGAAGATAAGAAAATCACTACCAAGCAATTCTTTATAACCAAAAAGAATTGTTTGAACAACATCAGAAGTGGCAGCAATGAACAACATCAAAAGTGGCAGCAAGACCACTATTAGCACATGCAATCTAGAATGCAACTGTGGATACTTCAAGTTTGTACGATGATTTGTTTAACACACGCATTGCTGAAGAATCGCAAAAACAAGTCTGCTACCAAACACTTATTCACAATTAGAAACAATTCTTTTAACAACAGAAACAGTAGCAAGAAGAACACGACGAAGGCATGCAATCTAGCATTCAAAATTACGTAGATACCAATTTAAGTTTGGTGAGATCTTATATTGATGAGCAAAATAACAATATGCTAAACAAATTATCTGACTGGGAATCAAACATGGAAGCTATTATAGCTTCCCTTCAACGGGATGTTCTTGTCCATATGAGTCCAATTCCAAAACATGTCTCGACATCTCAACAAATTAAAGATGTTCAAAGGTTGACAAAAGAAAAAAGAAAAAGCTAAAGGAAAAAACATACAGTCTTCAACAGCATCCACGTGTTATCCTTTAGAAGACTATCTTATGGGCATATATGCAACAATTAGAGATTAGGTAACAAAGAATTCATCGAGGTAACCAATCTAATTCTACTTTATTAACTTGAATATTATAATTTTAATTTGATTTATTAGAAACAAATTTAAATTATATTATGCAGTGCATATTGGGATGATGAAACTGACTAGCTGTATGGAAGAGACAAATTAAAAGCTATAATGGACACAACACAGGATATCAATATTGCGGTTAGTAAAGTTTATTCATCATAATAAATTTCATTACATACTTAATATATTTAATTTACATCTATTTATT